ACTGATTTGTGATGCTCTCTGTGTATCTTCATGGGAGAAGTGAGAACCCACATCCTTTGTATATCTTTAGTTAGAGTGGTTTTGTTGCTGCATTATAGAAGTTGTTGATCTGTTGTAGATATTAATCGACAGTCAGATAAGCGATTGGCTAGTGCTTCCTTTCTTTTGTAGCTGTTCCCTTTTGATATTCTTGAGAAGTTTCTTTGATGCACAAACTTTTTATAAAGTCTAATTTAGCTATGATACTTCTTTTTTTATTTTTGCTGTCATGTTCCAGAATAAAAAGTCAAGCATTGTTATAAACATTCTCTATGTTTTTTCTTCTAACAGCTTCATAGTTTTAGGCTTTTGCTTCATCCATTTTGAGTTACTTTTTATTGAGCTTTTAAATTTTCTTTTTGTTTTTTTTTTGGACACGGTCTCCCTAACCACACCCTGCCTGGAAGTCATAATGTAGACCAGGGTGGACTCCATCCTCCTTCCTTTGCCTCCCGAGTCTAAGATTAAGGTATGCCACCATGCCTGGCATTGTATTTAGTTTTCATCATTTGTATACCTGTGTTGCCCAAAGTCTTTACCCACATAATTTAAAATACAAGTTTCTCTATTCAAATCCTTAAGGAAATTAAGCTATCCATTTTTTTTCACAAATATATTGTTTTGTTGAATGAATTATCTCCCCAGTCCTAAAGTGGTAGGCTTGCCACATGAATATGTTTACTCCCCAGAACTGATGTTTAAAAAAATACAAATACAGTGGCAATCACTTGGAATCCCAATGTTGGGGAGGCAGAGACAGGTATATTCCTAAGACTCATGTGCCAGCAAGCCAATCTTAGAGAATTCTAGATCAGTGAGAGATCCTATCTCAATAAAAAGATGGACAGTGCCTGCAAAATATCACCCAAGTTTGTCCTCTGGTAGTCACAAGCTCATGATAACTCAAACACATGTGTCTAATACACATATGAGCATACACATCACAAGTATTGCTTCTCATGCTCTTGCATTAATGAAGATGTTCTAGACTGTTCACCAGGGCAGCTATGTTTAAGCAGTTAACAGTCAGGCTGATAAGCATATGAACTCACAGCATGGATAAAACCTATTCAAACTCAATCCAGGAAAGACCCTAGCATGGAGGCAGGGAGGTGGACAGTTGATCCCACCACATCTGAGGAGCTATTGGCACAGGCTGGATTCTGGGATAGGAAGAGTCAGTTTTCTTTGAAGGTTTCACCCTCACTGGGGTGATTCATTCCACATATATGACATAATGCATGAAATCCAGTAGGAGGTTTATGGGGCAGTTGCAGATAAGGACGTGAGTTGAAATAGAATTAAGATGTATTGTATGAAATGCACAAGCTTTCAATAAAACTATATAATGTAAGTAAAGAATCAGAATGATAAAATAATGCACATGGACACTATACATTCTATTGACATATCAACCAATAGAAGCTATAGTTGAACATATGGCTTCAGTGATTGCAATTTCACTACAATTATTGACATTTTCAAAACTTATAGATTTAGAGTAGGGTGTGATGGTGTACACCTTTAATCCCAGGACTCAGGAAGCAGAGGAAGATCTCTGTGAGATGGAGGCCATCCTAGTATATATAGCAAGTTCTAGGCCAATGCATTTATGAAGTTTATGGGTTACAGGGAAATCCTCTCCCTTGAAACTTTATGGGTTACATGGAAATCCTCTTTTTTAAAAAATTACTACTACTACTACTACTACTACTACTACTACTACTAATAATAATAATAATAATAATAGGGCTGGAGAGATGGCTCAGTGGTTAAAAGCACTGACTGTTTTATAGAAGACCCAGGTTCAGATCCCAGCACCCACATGGTGACTAACAACTGTCTGTAACTCCAGTCTCAGGGAATTTGATGCCCTCTTCTGTCCTATAAAAGCACTGTATGACAAGGGTGCAACTACCTACATTCAGGCAATACACTAATATACATAAAATAAAAAACATAATAAAACATAAAAAACACAATAATAATTAATAATTATTAATGATAATAGATTTCCAGTGCAGAGTGTATGGTACATGACTCTGATGCATGATATCAAAAAGCCCCTCTTAACTTTGCTTCCACTGGGCATATGTACAATGACCTTCCACATCATTGCATCTTATCAGCAATAATAAAAATGCCCAAATGTCTGCTAACTTGAATAAATAAAAGTAACCACCTTCCCTACTGTCCTTTCTGTTGATAACTCTTGTCCCAACTCACTGTTCCAGTGTGTCCCTGGTTTATAAAAGGAGTTGAATAAGAGCTGAGGACACTGAAGGTCACTATTTTCATAAACACTGAACATTGTTGTCATGGAAACACAGAATATTTTGTGAGGTATGACGGCATTATTCTAGAGGGAAATCTGTATCAATGAACTTGACTTAAAAATCTCTTGAAAGCAGTTTCTGTGGAGTTATTAAAATTTAATGCCTGGAAGACTCTGATAATTGACTTTTCATCTTTGAATTTCAGGCTTTGACTCACTTAATGCTGTGGACAGCTCAGGACATATTTGATATTGTACAAAATATTTCACAGTATTTGGTGATAATTTGATAATATAAATAGTTTGAAATTATCAACAAGTCCAAACTTGACTCTTAACTCTTAAATGTGTTTGTTCATATATGCTATTTCTTAGAATTTACTACAGAAAATGTTTTGATGTGGTAAGTATTGAATGCATGATTTAACACATATTTGGGTAATTTATGATATATAAAACCTTGATAAACTAAATGATAATTTGGAGAGGCAGAATAATTGAGTATAAAAAACAGGAAGAAGCAAGCACATAACTATTAGCCACATTATGTGTTTAGTGAAAACTTTGCTTACTGATATTATCCTTCTTTAAAATTTAGCCATCCATTAGAATAGACAATGAAGCCTAGATATCACTATACAATGAGCTAAGTACTAAATTGTGTTGTCTTTACTAAGGAATGTGAATGTATTTATGAAGTTTATGTGAGTATAAATCTGTACAACAGTGTGGTCATGTAATTAGTTTTGTATTGAAATCCTTAAAATTCACTATACATAAAAATTGTTCACTATGTCATAAAAATTATTATCTAAAGAGTCATGAATTTAGACTACTGAATCTAAAGAGTTATTTTACTAATGCTAATGAGTTATACTTTGTGGAATTAGATACATAGGATTATTAAAAAGTAAATAAGATGGTATGTGTTTCTTCTTCCCTCACACTCCTTCAATGAAATACACCATGTTAAACAATATTATTCTAGTTTCCTCTTATTCCTGAGAGACCACATCTCAAACACCCAGGGACCAGGCATAGAGAGGCTTATAACCCAGATGATTCAGGAGACAGTGCTGATCCCATGCAGATAAAGCCACATTCTAGAAAGATATCACAAGCCATGGTATGATATTTTGTCTGTCTTATTTCTACTGCAAAGTTTTTAGTTCTTTGGCATTTTTTACACTTAAACCCTGTAAAAAAAAAAAAAAAAACTAGACTATGAAACAAGGCAACATTCACTTTGAATACTGGGCATTTTAATGTGTATACAAAATAGCATGAGATACAAAAGTCCTGACAAGTATTTTGTTTGTTTGTTTGATTGTTATTTTTTTGTTTTTCTTTTCTTACTGGGTTTTGTAATTTCATACAACAGTTCTTAATCAAATTTCAACACCCTCTCCCATCCATGCATCTGCCAACCCATACCATGGGTAGTCAAATATCATTTATTATATTAATTCTTGACATTTAATTTTATATATTTTAAATGTTCTCATTATTTTATATGAAATTATTATTTTTA